CATGTAGGGCTTTAAAGGTAATAACCAACATGGATAGAGATGTATAACTAGGTATCATCTGCATATTGATGATACCTCATCCCATGGTGGCAGATGATCTCACCCAGTGGTTTCATGTAGACATTAAAAAGGAGCAGAGAGAGTACCAAACCCTGTGGCACCCCACAATGGAGGGACTGTGAGCTGGACCTCTCGCTCCCAATCAACACTGATTGGGATCGACCTTGGAGGAAGGAAGAGAACCAGCGCAAAACTGTGCCACCTGCTCCCAACTCCCTACGTCAACGCAAAAGGATACCAAGGTCAATGGTACTGAAAGCCGCTGAGGTCAAGAAGAGCAAGGATGGATGTACTACCCCCATTCCAATCCAGAGATCATGAGTGTGACCAATGCCATTTTCATCCCATATCCAGGCCTGAAACCTGACTGAAAAGGGTCAAGATAATCCATTTCCTCCAGGATCCTCTGGAGCTACAGCTCCGCCACCTTCTCAAACACCTTCCCCAAAAAGGGGAGGTGGGAGACTGGACAAAAATTGTTCAGTATGGTGGGATCCAGTGATGGTTAGTGATGGTTTCTTGAGGAGGGGATGCACCAGTGCCTCTTTAAAGGCAGCTGGGAACACTCCAAGAATGAATTCACCAGTGCCTGGACCCACCCACGTCACCTCCCGAGTAGCCTTAACCAGCCAGAAGGGTCATGGATCTAGTTGACAAGTGGTGGCTTATGAGGAAAATTAATGGATATTCCTTCTTAAAAAGCAATTGCAAAGCAATGTTATTGGACAGGATACCAGAAAAATAAAATCAAGAGTTAACTAGGAGGTAGCTGACAAAACTCAATAACAAGTTCTCTACATTTGACTCTACTACATTTAGTGGAGGGAGAATGCAGGGGATTACAGATGCTGGATTCTTTCTAGGATAGGAGTAATAATGGACCCTCCATGCTTTCACACATCTTTCTCCAGTCTCAGTACTTTTCCATGTCTGCATTTCAACTCCCACAATTCTCAGCAATGGTCATCCTGGTTAATCTGGAGAGCACCCAGGTTGGAAAGGCTGCTCTGCTGGACAAATGAGATAACAAAGCTTCCAAATCCTACTATTGTATGCAACAGATTAACAAGCAGAAAATTGTAGAATGATAAAAAAAAAAAAAGTGCAGTGATTATGTACCATTTGCTTGTCCTTTGGTTCATTCTTTTTTCTCACACACCCCAGAGAATTCCAGATCAGGATGCCCAATGATGAGAGAGTTCTGGTAGAATCACCCTGCAGGCTGCATTCCCATTTTAGTGGATTAAACACCTGTTTGCAGTAGTGTATTTTTTATTATCAGCTAAATGTTGCAGTTTAACTGACTGGAATTTTTTTAAACATGCATCGAAAAAGTCAAACCCTTGCAATCAAAAGCAAGCACCATCAAGTTCAGCAAAACCTATGTAATATAACTGCTGCTCTTTGTGTGAACATACACACTGTAATTACGAGCTCTGACAAAATCAGTATTTTCAGCTACATCACTTCTCTTTCCACCAACCCCAAGAATTCTTTTTCAAAATCCTGTCCCTTTTTCTAAAGCTTCGTCATTGTTTCTCTGTCACAATCATCTAACACCAGCTCTCTGCTTTCTCATGTCTGCGCTGTTTCTACTGTATGCATTTTTCCTCTCACCATAACTGAGTAGTTACCAGTGACTTTAAGGAACTGTTCTGCCTTCTTTGCTTTTTCCTCACATCTGTCACAATGTCTTTTGTTGCACTGATTTGTCTAGTGGTAACAGAGTGGTGTGACTTTGCTGGTAGGGAAAAAAATGCATGAAACATTCTTAAGAAAAATATGTTCTTCCACTTGTGCAAAATAAAAAGGTCATATTTTAATTTCGTTTAATCAGCCAAACCCTCCCCCAAATGGCCAGTATATGGTACAAAAAATAGTGTATGTCCCACTTCTGAAGAACTAGCCCCATGTTCCAAAGCAGCTGCAGCTTACAAGTACAGAAGCTTAATCAAAATTTGAAGGATCACAAATCATTTTTAAGTGTAGATGTTATGAATGTCATTAGGTGTCACCAATTTTGACAGTATTTCTGTGCTTCTTGAAATATCCTGGGAAAAACAGAATAAAAACAAGGTTAGAACAATATCTGAAGGGCTGATTCTTCACTCATCTTCACAATACAACTGTTTGGGGGAAATGATACATTTACCTACAAAACCAAACCCGTGTAAGTCAAGCATTTGTGAAATGTAGCACATAAAACTCTATAGCTTGTTAATCAGCTGTTCTTGTTTCAGCCTTTTATAATTTACTGAATAAAGGCAGCAATAGAAAAGAAAAAGCAAAATAATTCAGCTGAGCACATAGTTGAGCACTCTTAGATTTACTGTAAACACCAGAATTTTAATTGGGCATTCTTGTATCTTATATCTAGTCCAGTGTTTTTCAAACTTGGCAACTTTAAGATGTGTGGACTTCAACTTCCAGAATTCTCCAGCCAGCCTGCTGGCTGGGGGATTCTG